CACCAGAAGCGTTCTAGCGGGAGTACCCCAGGGTTCAATTCTAGGGTCCATTCTATTCAATATCTACATAAATGATGTTCCCTTTAGGACAAATTGTACTTTGGCCCTGTACGCGGATGATACCGCTTTACTCACATCGTCCACCAAGATCTGGGCTGCATGTAATAGGATACAAGAGTACATCCATGCTATAGTAAATTTCTTTACCAAATGGAAGCTATCCCTTAACGCAGATAAGACCGAGGCAATCGTCTTTACCAGGAAGCGCAACAAACCGACTAGCCTGCTCGAGGTCCGGGGTGTCTCGATAGAATGGACGAACCAAGTCACATATCTGGGAGTAGTCCTAGATTCCAGGCTTACCTGGATTCCGGCTATAACCGACAGAATCTCTAAAACGATCAAGGTTGCTGGTGCTCTGAAAGCACACATTAACCGTTCATCTTCACTGAATAGAAACATCAGACTTGCTATTTATCGCATATGTATCAGACCGGTCCTTAGCTATGGTGCACCGGTCTGATGGGACTGTATCTCCTGGTCTAGGAAAACTCAGATCCAGCGAGTGCAAAATAAAATACTGAAGTCTATCATCCGGGTTCCCTGGAAGAACAGTACTCTCAAGCTCTGCGGGATGGCTGGCACTCCTCTCATTAAAGCATACATCGAACGGCTCATCGAGGGTTTCAACACCGATGTCCCGAATAACAAGCTCATAGGAGATCTAACAAAATTTAACCGACATACCATTCCGTATAAAATTAAGATGAGGTTCCCACTATTCATAAAATTTTCAGCCTAATCTTCACCACTATCTCTCACGCATGCATATTGCTTTGCGGCAGTGACCGACGTCCTGCCTCCTCTTCTCACCTCAGGAATCGGCGCCTCGAATGGTTTGTACATAGTCATTGTTTTTATTCTTTGCCATCACTATAGGCTTATAGTCTTATTTTATTCGTAACACTCATTTATTTTTCTAGTTGCTACATCTATAGGCTCGTATGCTTTAGCCAAATTATAAAATTCATTTAATTTTTTCTAGCTTTAGTCAATATTTAAGCATGCTCGCTGGGGAGCCTTACGGCACATCATTGGATGCCGCGGGGCTTCTCGCTATTTCCTGCATAGCTTACTAGCAGTTAGTTCTCCTGCAATTTCTGATCCGCAATTCACTCTGGTCGCGGTTTGCATACATCACACTGGCTCCTGCCGTATTCCGGTTCTTCACCCGATCAAGAATTTCCAAATCTGTTGTACATTTCAATTCTCACGGTGGTTTTTTGCAAATTTTCCACCTCTGACATCAGGACACCTATCCTTAAATTATCTTTAACTGATGAAGCTAATTACATTCTATTCTCAAGTATCCCGGTAAGCTGGCCTAGGCTAGCAGGAATGGAATCCAGAAGGTGGCTCCACTTGGAATCAAGGGCTGAAACCAACACCTCGGAACAAACGTGGTGACTTCCGCCTTCAAAAACTCATCGTCACGTCAAAAAAAAACCCTTCGGATTAGTCTGAACTAAGAGTCTTAG